AAGGGAAAAAGCACACTTTAAATAAAATGCGTATTTGTCCTAGTTGAAGTAGTCAAAGTGGAAAATATAGAGGAGGCGGTTGTCATTATCGTAGGCAAAGGTTGCCGCTATCTTCGTTTAAGAGCACGAGGTGGATTAGTTCACCAATGTGCCCTACTCAGCCCCTCTTGGATAGCAGGGCATATTTGCTTCGTGCATGGACTGGAAAGCTTGCCTAGCTCAGGCAGCCATCTCAGACGTTCGGTTTTGTACGACTGCTATAACTGAATCGAGATGCCTGGCCAGCGCTCCCAGGCCAGGTCGCCAAGCAAACAGCCCCGTACTGCTCATCTGTAAGCAGAGGTCAAAGTTTTCATGTGGAATTGAAGAACGTACAAGGACAAGTCTTCCGTAGATGAAATAGCTCTAGTAGCCCAATTCTGGAGTCTCTTGAGCTAAGCTCGACCGATGGAGATGTGTAGATTAAAAAAACACAGGACATTAGAGCGAAAACTTCCACCGAGATATATTGAATTAATAATAATTATACTTTCTTGGTTCTAAAAAGAATATAATTCTAGTCTTGAACCTAGACAAACACATGTTTAAATTTAAAACTAAAATTATCTTTTTCTTAAGGGCCAACCAAGTATTTTCTTATGAGTGGGCCGGGACCGAGAAAAGGCCTCGAAGGCCGTCCACCCTTGGGAGGGCACTGTATCACCCTTTGAAATCAACCAATGTAAGAGATGCCATTTTTAGGTGTATCTTTTTTTTTGTCGGCGTTGCTAGCGTCCGGACGTCCGGACGCATGCAGGCGCTCGTGCGGACGCCCGCGCCTCCTCCATCATGTGCACCCGCGGGAAAACGCCCGTGCATGCAGCTCTTTCCCCTAACCCCCATCCTCTCTCTCCGCACGGGTGGGACCCGGGAGCTAGGATGAGGACGAGCACGCCCCGTCCGCAAGCTCCTAGCGTGCCCCATCCCTGGCCTCCGGCTCGCTGCGCCCCATCCCCGGCGGCCGGGCCGTGCCCCCATGACTTTCTCTGAAACATGAAACACTTGAATGCAACATACGTCTGAAGCAGATGAAATGTTTGTAACATATGTGAAACATATGCAACATCTAGATAAAACACTTACAACTTACAACATGAAAACACCTACTGCAACATAAGACCGAAACAGCTGAAATATTTCGAACATATTTGTGAAACGTATGCAACATCCAGATCCAAATGCTTACAACATATGTCTGAAAACAGATGAAACATTTTGAACAAACGCTTGCAACATGCCTCTGAAACACTTGCAACATATGCAACATCCCGATCTACTTTTGCAACATCCATATGAACCACTTGTAGCATACCTCTGAAACATCTGAAACACTTGAAACAAACATTTACAACTTAGGGGGAGAGGCCGGTGCCGATCGATTCCGGCCGTCAAGGTGGGAGCCGGCGGCGCGTGAGCACCACCAGCACCGAGCGCGCTCATGGGTGCCCTTGGCTCGACCGGGAACGACCTGAGGCACCCCAGCACGTGCGCCTAGCCTTCCTCGGTAGGGGAAGTGGTTGTGGCCCGCGGCGGTGAGGCATATATCCTGATGGCGCTGGGTTGGGGAAGAGGCCGGGGAGGCACTACGTGAACTGAGGGAGGAGGCAGCGTGGTCAGTTTGGGTGGAGGAAGGAGGCAGACGTGGCAGCGCGGGGATCTGGTGCTACGAGCGGATGCGAGAAAAGATAGGGGACACGAGAAGAGACCGAGAGACGGGGAGAGCGAGACGGAGTGGGGAGTGTTTTTTGTTGATAGAAGCGGGCGATGTGGAGTGGGAAGGCCCGTCCGAACGGATGCTGACGGATGGACGCGAAAGTATTTCCCTTTTTGTTGTTGTTGTCATAGAGAGTTCGATAATGTAGTTCATGCTTAGTGAGGCATGGGACCAGGGTCAGCCTATAATAGGTTAAGTGTTTGTTGACAATCGCTTAATTCATAGGAGATATTTTCTAAAACTACGGAACATATATACTTGGGTTCTAGATGTCCCAAAAAGATAAATTTACTAGAATGGGCTAAAATAACAAATTGGATGACTACCAGGCTACTAGCGCACAATGTATTATTATATTAGAGACACGTGGTAACAAATCAGCATATTTTCTTGTCAAAAAGTTCAATCGAGTTTTTAGACACCCCGTTTGTCAAAATGAAAGAACTTTGTGAAGCGCCTCGTGATACCAAGGACTCTCTTTGTTCGAAAGACTTAATTGAAAATATGTGAGTAGCTTATACAAATTTGAAAGACCTGAAGAGTAAATTTACCATCACACTATAAAAGAGTAAGTTTTTTTTGTTGAAGCTTTTTTCCTCTTTAATAACCGTTCAATCAAGACGTTGTATCATAGGGGTCTTTCATTGTCCAGAATCCTACTTTTCCTCTTAAATAACGGTTCGATCCAAACGAGACGTCGTTTCGCAGCGGTTCTGATTTCCAGCTGCATACCTTCCCTTGTCGTTTCCCATGTATTACAGACATTGCTATCTACTCCCGTGGTGCCAGACTCACGACGCGGGCGGTCGAGACCTAGAGAGCCGTCTCCACATGCCACCCCAGCATCTCCACGTGGTCCCTTTATGCTATTTCATTTGTTTATTACTACCATAGATTATAATCAAAGTTTTGTTTGTATTGCAAGTTGGCTGTAATATATGTTTTGAACGGTTGTGCAGGATATACATGAGGTTGTATAATTGAATATTGTGAATTTGCCTCTCCAGAAAAAATATTGTAAATTTGTTGGCGATGACCTAAATTGTTCTAGAGCCATAGTTAGGAAAAAAGAACATCATATATCCAAGGGTATGTTGGTCTATTCACCCATATTCCTCTCTTTTTAGAATCTAAATCTAGATAGCTAGCCAGACGGTTTCACCGAGAGATTCTGTTTGTAAGTTTCTATAGAGAATCTGAATTTGAAACGTTTGTACGTGAATCTAAATCCCTACCAAACGGACCCTAAGATTTTACATTGCCACGCCTAAACCGACCCCATCCCCACGCCTCCCTCACGTGTAATCATACGCCTTAAAACCAATCTACAATCCGATGGTTCAACTCCCTCTGGGTCACGTAAACACGCCAGCACACCGGACTTGGGCTCCTTCAATCACGGCAAATCAGCTGGCCCCTAACCGTGTCCAACATGGACATGCACGACTGGCCTACCCAGCCTTTCAGGCTGGATGCACACGTATAATACCACGCCACCTCACGTCTTCCCACGAAGTCTTTCCTCCTTCTCTTCCTGTACAACATTAATTACAGATTCAATCTCACGTCCTGAGGGCGAAGGTAGCATCGGGCGATCCGCGACGGCGAGGACAACCCGACAAGGACTCTTGGTGGCGGCGTGAATAAGGACTCGGCTCGAGGTCTCCGTATATAGTGGGCGCAGCTAGGTTGTGGTTGCGGACGAACGCTGCTGCATCCACCTCTACTTCGTTGCGCAGCGAGCCACAGCGTCCGTGCCCAGGCGAGGGTCCACATAACAGTGGAGAGCGCGTTAGGGTAATTTTTTTTATGTTTTGCATCGGAGAAAAAAACCAACAAATTGAAAAATGTGACGTGTTAGTTAAAAAAAATATCAAGCTAAAAGTGATATAAGTGATCGTGCAACAAACCATGTGTCTCGTACTCCCGTTGCAACGCACAGGTAATTTTGCTATTGATATCTAAAGGCAGACCCAACACGCTATAGTTTATTGCTATTGATGAGCTATAACGTCAGCAAATCGATAATATAGCAACTATCGTCATGTTTGTTTGGGCTTGTTTGGCTTATAACTCACCGAGGAGACACAACAAAGCAAGAGTAGGCGTGGACTCCAACGAAAGAAATAATTACTTTAGCATTGACAACTAACTTATTGAGGAGAGAGAAGAAAATAGGAGACATTGTGGGCTCTGACGATGCAAGAAACCATTACTTTAGCATTGACAACTAACTTATTGAGGAGAGAGAAAAGAACAGGAGATGGCATGAACTCCGACTATGCAAGAAACTATTACTTTAGCATTGATGGTAGAGTAGTTTTCATAGGCTAGCATGTCATGCTTCACCTGCACTCACTAGTCAGCACCGATGGCGCTTGCTAGCACATCTTGCCCACCTAACCTGTACTCGCTACCAACCAGCCCGCCCACATGCCTCACGCGCGCACCGTACTGGTTCGCCACTCTTCTAGGAACATGCGCCCATGCCACCTCTCCTAGCCACCGTTGCTCACTCCAAGTGTTGGCCTCTGCTAGTCGCCCCTCCCAACTATTGTAGCTTGCTCGCCGTGTGGAGCCTAACTTATCGGGTTGCCTCGCTTCGTCACGGTCACGTGTTGCCACGTGGTGACATGGTCACTCTGAGTCCGAGCACATGCACGGGCTATGCCCAAGCCGCATGCATTCACCAACCTAACCGTTTAGCGGCCCTTTCCACGGATCTTGACCTCTTTGATGTGCTTGCGATTACGAGAGAAGAGGAAAAAATATGGATAGAGAAGAGAGCAGTTTGGTATTGTATCACAGGTTTCGTGTGGGTAAAAAACTAGTCGTACTGGGACCACCTCTACTCTATGTCTTCTAATTTTATGGGATGTCTGTAAAGAGACATTGGGACCACCTCTTAGCAAACATTTTCAAATGGCCCCTTAATTTTCTTTAATTTTTTATTCTAAAAAATATAGCCATTGAAGATATTTTTATTACTCAACCCATAGCCCCATCTAATCCCAACAAGCCATCACAGGCCCCCATAGAATCCTCGCTATCCTATGCATTGGACGGACATAGACCTTCAAATTTCAATCGAAAACAAGAAGGTTAAAAAAAAAAAAGACATAAATCCACACTAAACGTTCTATCCATACTCAACCCACAACCAAAAAACCCGGAAAAAAAAAAGAGAGAGGAGAGAATATGCGCAACCGCGGCCAACCGTCGTGACCTCGCCGCCGGTCGCCGGTCCATGGACTCCGCCGCCGCCGTCCTCGCCATCCTCAGGAAGCTGCAGTCCCTGGGCTTCTGCGCCGATCTCCGGATCCCCGACGCCGCCGCGGCCTCCGACCCCTCGGAGGCGTTCGACGCCGTCCTCGCCACGTTCCTGCGCGAGGCCTACACCGGCGGCCGCGAGGCGCGGCCTATCCCCGTGGCGCTTAGCGATGGCCGATGCGTCGACCTCCTCCGCCTCTTCCTCGCCGTCCGCGCCGCGGGGGGCTACGCCGGCGTGCCCAACTCTCCAGGTGGCTGGGCCGCCGCCGCCGAGGCTGCCGGCGTTGACCCCGCCCTCGCGGCGCCCGTCAAGCTGGTCTACGCCAAGTACCTTGGCGCCCTAGACCGCTGGATCCAGAGGCTTGTGGAAGCGCACGGGCCCTTCTTGGATGTCGACATGAAGAAGAGGCAAGAGCTGTTCTTTGGTGCCAATGGTGTGGAGGAAGAAGAAGAAAGGCTCTTGAACTGCAATGGGAGGGAGCAGCGGCATGTGTTGTTGAAGAGGAAGAGGGGGGACATGGTTGGGATGCTGGGTTGGGTGAGGGAGATAGCCGAGAATGCTGGCAATGGTGTTGCTGTGGCTGCTGGGTCTTCAGATGAGTACTTCTCAATGGCATTGGCGGTCAGGGAGATGGTTACCGGGAAGAGGGCTCGCCGAGCAAGCATGTTGAATGGCTCACTTTTTCAGGTGATTTCAATACCTTTGAAGAGTTTGTTGGCCAAACGTTTTACAGTTTGATGTTATCTTCATTGCATTTGAATAGAAGTACTCAATTCAGCATCTGATTTTTCTTACCATGAACCATCAAGATCATTCAAGTACTTCATCAAATATGTATTTCTAATGCTTGAAAGAACAATGGGTAGAGCATGCATCTAATCATGTGGCAAGTTTAAATGGTTGAGGGTCTGTTTTGAAACAATTAAGTTTTGATGTTTTGTGACTAAAATACTTCCCAGTTCACGAGAAAGTCCACTGGTGTCATGTTATTCCGTTTTTGGATATTTAGCCACAACTATCAACTTCTATTACTATTATTGAATGGTCGTCTTACTAGTATGAGTCATTTCTGTGTTCAGAAGATTTTTCGTTTCGGATTGTTGACCTTTGTTCCACGATAAGGTCTTTGTGATGCAGAGGTGTAGATCGACTCTCATGTCCACTCTTGATTTTGTTACTTCACAAATTTGAATGAGCTTATCAAAAGACATGTGCATGGAGGAAACTTCCTGGTAGACATTACAATTTAGAAACTGATTCTGAAGGCGTTAACTGTGTTTGACATTACAATTTAGTCAAGGAATATCCTCGCAAAAAAAAAGGTCAAGGAATAAGCCTTTTCTGAGTTACCTGGTTATTGCAATTATTGGGTCCATAAATTATTCATAACCGGGTGAATTCATTCTCATAAAGAACATGCAGTACTAATAATTTCTACCTTGTTGGTAAGATCTATAATCTTTTGTAGTCTTGAAGAAATCAAGATAATAACCACACTTGGATTCTGGGACTATGCCTATAACTAGAGCTTGCTCGTTTCCCTTTTGCATATCCTTTTGAGAGAAAAAAAAACAATGGAGTTTTCACTAAAGGTGCATGGGCTTCCGGTTTAGTCCTAGATTTGAGTGTGTAGGAATGATAATTGTTAGACAACCTCCCAGATAACATGCCATTGACATGATTCCAGGTTTTCTTTTCTATAGCAATTCCTTTCTAGACTACACTGTGTGGATACATGTACAATCTTCAGAATTATGAACCCTATACTATTTAGCATGTGACAGACCCCCAATTCAAGACCTGTTATTTATGGTGTCTAATATGTAGTTTCACATACCTTTTCCCTTAAATTGTGTATTTCCTTAGTTTTACTCCCTTTAGGCCACTTTGTTTTCCAGGAATAAAACCATTGGTTCCAAATATCACAACACCACAAGTACCTAATTGCTACTTCATTTAGCAATCTTGCTCTTATTAGCAATTTCTATACTTGTTTCTAGAGCTGTGAAAAAGTGAAAAGGTACCATGTAGCAGAGGGCAAAGCCTGTTGTAGGCCTTGTGTTGTAGTACTCAACATTAGTTATTCATTAGATCGCAACATCTTTGAGAAAGTAAGAATTAACATTCACTCCCCTATTGTCTAATAGCCATTATGTAAGACATAATATAAAAACCTGAAATAAAGGGGAACTTAATTTACATCTATTGGTTGAAATCAGGTATTTTTTTGCCGTCCCTGTATTTGTGAAATTTAATGATCTGATTAGTGATTTAGTTCTTGGTAGATAAACATTAAAATAAATGTGGATTATGGAAGCTTAGAATGCCACCCCATCAAGTCATAAAGCTTTTATGGTTCAATTGGCAAAAGGTACTGTAGTGGTTCCTAAGGCTTGTCAACAGATTTACCAAATTAGCTGCTAAACAGATGATGGCAACCACTGCTTTTCTTAATCCTGGCCCACATAAACCTCCATAAAATGGTTGCTTATCAGATATCTCCAAAATGCTATTCATGGGAAATCATAGATATGAAATGCATGCACAAAAATCTCTCTTTTTTATTTTATTGGCACATGCCAAAATTCCGTTGCTTTCAGGGTGGTTCCAGCTTTAGAAAGAAAACCTGCTTGCTGCAGTTCTGGTTTTTAGTTTTCGACCAACTTCTGCATTTCTGTAGAAAGGTTTACCATGATTTTTTTATCAATGATCATCATCAGAAGCTGTACGTTACAGTTTTCACAACTTCAAGGCATTGGGGGTCTCGGACTTGACATGTATACTCTGTTGTAACCCTTCTTAATTTTTATTATTCTTTTAGTACCATCTGTGGTTTTAGATCCACCTTCACCATTTTTTATGATACTGTTCACTGTACATTGTTTTTATTAACATACCTTCTTCTCTTTGTAATTCTTTAGAAACTTATATATTGCTTACTGAGTGAAACTGACTCTTCTTTCTCTTTCAACTCAGGAAATATTCCCAATGGCTTGCAATTGCTGTACGAGTCCTACCAGTGTTGGAATTTGTTCAAAAGCAAAATTACTGAATGGTTCTGTAGTGCTCACAGAACAGGAGAACAGCTTGGCTGGAGAAGGGAAACTTGGGACTAGGACTCATAATTCTTCTAATGGTTGGCTTTTTACAAGCCACCAGAAGAATGAAATACCTGTTGGTCCGGACTATCAAGTACACGTGCCACAATGGACTGGTGAGGTGCCTGTAAATTATGATGGTCCAGAAACTCTGAAATGGTTGGGAACAAAGGTATGGCCTCCAGAAAATGAAAGCTGTAAAACATTGTTTTGTGGTGATCCTATTGGCAAAGGCAGAGAAGTTGTTTGTGGTTGCAACTATCCTGGATCAGTGGAATGTGTTCGGTTTCATGTAGCAGAACGGAGACTTAAGTTGAAACGTGAACTTGGTGTGGCTTTCTATGCATGGGGATTCAATCGTATGGGTGAGGAGATTGCACTTTCTTGGACAGATGAAGAGGAGGCAAGTTTCAAGGCCGCAGCACAACATAGTGCTGCATCTTCTGGCAGGAATTTCTGGAACCGCCTCCACTTATTTTTTCAATTTAAGGGGAGGAAAGAACTGGTGAGCTATTATTTTAATTGTTTTCTTCTTAGAAGGAGGTGCTACCAAAACAGGATCACTCCAAAGAACATAGACAGTGATGATGACGAAGAAACAGAATTTAGATTCCTAGGGAATCGACTTGGTCACTGTGCAGCTAAGTATCACAGTACCAAGCACACCATCTGCATTGAAAATACACACTCTATGGATCTAGACGAGTAGTAGTTGATTGTATTTTATGAAGCTGATTGAGGTCTGCAGTTAGTTCACTTGGGAGATTGAGCTGATGATATTCCTCTCAGTGATTTAGTTACATTGCTGACAGTGCACATGAGTTGCGATAAGCCAAGCATCCAAGCAATTACTTACTGCTGCATAGATGGATTGTAGGCTGATCCACAATCAAATTTGTACTCAAGTTCTGATACAGAAGTAAGGTGATACTGGTCATTGAGCACTTACATGGATGCACATCCAGAATGTGAGAAATGCAATGATTTGACAGTGTCATGGTTCCTTGAAGGTATTATGTGTATCGGCACTTTTCGAGTTTTCGTAGCTTTCTTTTTCCCTCTGTGAATCATTAACCGGATCCTTATCCAGTAAGGATACTTGTTGGTTGCGTGCTCTAGGCTCCTGTTGTTGTAGTTCTCCGAAGTGGGATGGAGCAGATGTATATGTTAGTGTTCTGAAAGTATAGTGCTGTTGTTCATTGTAGACTCTGCCTGTCTTTGAGAAACTTATGTGAAGCTTTCTTCTCTAACCAGTCGAATGGCAGGCTAGCAATCTGATCTTTGTAATTTTTCATATGAATGTTGTGGTACACGTATTCACTCAGTGACATAATCTATGTTAGACTGTTAGTCCAGAAGAGAAGACAAGAAAACAGGCAGGTTTTTTTATGTGACCAGAAGGGATACTTCCATGTGCATATCTTCTGTATAAGCCGTAAAAGCCTGTCAAATATTGTTGTTGCAACACAAGACTTGTCTAGTCAGTTTGAAGATACCTGTCTAGTTCTTTTATGTTTGTTGATCGACTGATGAGAGCTTGCTGGTCCTTAGCCAAACCAGGTTGAGGTGTTTTATGTTAAAAATTTTCGACTGATGAGTGATGAGAGCTTGCTGGCCCCTAGTGAAACCAGGTTGAGGTGTTTTTTGACTGATGAGCTTGTTGATTTCGCACCATTTTGGTATCGACTCATCATCGATTGGGTCTAAATTTTCGATAAGTTGTTGGCTGACTGCACGTTAGACGGTCCAACATGCATATTATAGTACTGCATAAATAAATACGTCTATGCTAATGTACGTTAATTACCGTACCTAATGAAAACCATCAGTCAATACCTTATGCACGGATGGAATGATCTGAGTACCGTAATTTCAGCGTTCGCTAGATTTGTTTTCTTCTTTCAGATCTTATTTGTTCCCATGCTGATTCGGATATTGTTGTTTTTAGATTGTGCACACGAAATTGTACTTTGTACTGGTCTATAACATGCATATTACATGGTCGTGCATATTTGTGATGTACATTTCTTATTTCGATTTCTTGGTCGTGCATATTTTGTATACTGCCCAACAATCTAAAACGCCCATGTCTTGGATTATTACATCGTTGATGAAACAATGACCAATAAATCTGTCAATCAACAAATAAAATGATGGGCATTGATAAATTATTATTCAACTAATAAAGATTTAAATACAATAAGAGACACTAGCATGCCAAAAGCAACACACACACACACAACTCTAGAGACATAACTACAATCTTAATTAAAATTTTTAGGCAAAAGACCAAGAAAAGACATGGTGAACTATTGATTCTTCTCCTTGGACGGTGGCAAATTAATTAACGGCAAAAGCGGCAGTAACAGTAGCCCTTGATCCCGCCTTTCATACACTTGTGTACCATGACTTTGGCTGCGATTAATTTTGCCTCCATCCAGCACTCGCTCTTGCACATCCATCCCTTACAGAATGGCATGATAGGATATGTATAACCACACTCTGCAAAAAGAATAAATTAAACACATGTATGTATATCCATATGTCATCAGCTATAGCATATCTTGGAGTGTGATACTAATCACATGGAAAGAGAGAGAGAGAGAGAGAGAGAGAGAGAGAGAGCGCTTGTCTGGAGAAAAAATGATTAGATGTGTTTTATTTTTCTTCTTACATCTTAAATAAAAAGTCTGAAGACTGAACACAAAAGAAGATAAAAAGATAAAGAAACAAAAAATTACAAATTCATCTTTGGTAGTAGATTACAACTGAACTAAAAAACTAGATAGAACATAAATAAAAGAAAAGATAGATGCAAAGGAACACGAACCGGCTAGAGCATGATCCTTGTGCAGAACGAGCACGAAAAGAAGACAGCAGAGAATAGCATTCTTAGTATTCATTGTCTGCGATATATGAAAAATTGACACACAGAGGAGGTACAAATGAGATCATATATTTATAGCTGGCCATTATCTGTTGATCATGAGAGAAAATTGGATCAGCGACCGTTTCTTTTTCCAGGATAATGCATGACGAGTGAGAGGATAAATTTTCATAGGTGGTTAGTTACTACCGTTTCGTTATTATCCCAGCAAAGCACCACAAAATCCACTCACATTATGGTTTTGACCAGATGCATGCAAGCAGTCAAACATGCAGCATCTTTTTGCTCTCCCTAGATGCATGCATGCTTTGACCGAGTACCTCGAATTTAGCCTCTTCTAGTTCTAGCCCACGCTTGGAGGAAGAAATGGACTTGAAACTGCTGTTCTGCATAATCATCAACTGGACTTGAAAATGTTTCAGTGTAATTCGGTTGTCTTAAATTTTGGAATAAACTGCATCGCCACTTTGCCAGTCATTGACATATTTTTCACCTCCTCCGATCCTTCCTCTCTCCTGGAGTGACCTGAGGGCTACAGTGAAGAAAGAGTCATTGATATATTTTGGACTAAACTGCTACAGTGTACTTCGGGCCATCCTTTAGTTCTCCTCCTCCTTTTATTTGCCAGTAAGAGAAACATGTTTGCCTTTTGCTTTTCTTATATTAAAATATATTTCCCCCGAGTGTTTCCCCTCAAGGAAAAAAAACTTGCCTAAACATAGTGACATGTGCAATATCCATTATGGACACATATGCCTACACAACCGCAATCTGCGCCTTCTTCAGTTCGATCATGCTACATTCACATGCTACATTCGAGAACTTACATCTAAGTTTCTGTAAGGAGAATCAGGTTAATATGGTTTTGGAAGAGAATTGAAACAGAGCAAATTTGACTCAAGATTGGATAATAGAAGGTGTTCTTTATATACATCACCAAACATGGACATACCACAAAACCAACTTAGAAGGTGAGATTTCCTGTTGTTACGATGGATTTGTTTGGATAATTCGTGCATTCATCTGATTATATTCACCACATAGATTGGTTTCTCGTTGGCTCCATTCGATGATTTGCTGAGCTACTTTTAACTCCTGGGAAGTGTTTCTACTGCTAAAAAGTAGAATGCCAATCAAATAGGTGAAATCTACTTTTTTTAGAAGCCAATACACAGTACAATTTTAACAGCATCTTGGGTTTTGCTTTCAGCTTTCGGTTTTCTGCTTTTGCAAATAGGTGGAAATAGAAAGATGTTTCCTAATTGTCTTAAGGAAGATAGATAGAGAATATAGGTTTCATAGTTGTTGTTTAACCAAACACCTTACAATTTATTCACAACACGTAGCTCACAATAGCTTTTTCATATCTCACAGCTGAACCAAACGGACCTACGACAGAGACCTCCTTGATTTCCACATGGCAATCCTTGTTGAGGATTGCACTGATATAGGCCCCGTTCGCTTCGCTGAAAAAACAAGCCGAAATACTGTTCCGGCTGAAAAAATAACTTGAAAAAGACGGATTATAAGAGAAGCGAACAAGGCCATGGGGATAACTCGAAGATACATTTATTTTGGTTAGATTGGATGACAAACCGTTGAAAAAATCAGTTCACATTGGTTGAGCTAGATTCTAATAATACTAATTTTTATTCATGATCAAAACTACATCAACAATTTAGTGGAAAATATTTATTTATTATGGAAGGACCAAGGTTTCAAGGACCTATATTACTATATTTATTCTTCACTTTTATATTTATAAGAAAAAACGAGAGGTACATATAAAAGAAAAGAAGTCATGAATAGGCAAACTTGTTCTTAATTGTCATCTAGGTCCAGGTACTTGCAAATTACATGTTTGGCTCCCTAAACCTATATAGATTCTTATTCTAATCCTAGTACTTATAAATTGCCTATATAGATTCTTATTCTAATCCTAGTACTTATAAATTGCATGGTTGGATCCCTCAATTTGTCACAAGCTCTCATCCCAGTCCAAATACTTACTAGCTGCGCACTCAGCTATCTAAAATTGCATTATTGTACCATTTTGGTCCATCCACCACCAAACCTTACTGTCCTCGCCCCTACCACACCGCACATATGCCCGCCTCACCTATTCAGATATGCAGCACACTACACGGCATCGTGCTCACCCTAACACCCTGAGTCTTCCTATGTTACAATCATCAACGTGGCTCTGCACCCATGTTGCCACACTAGGCCCCTGACGTGCCGTGTCCCAAGCCGTGCACTACACTTTGTCGTCTTATCGTGTCACAGTGATGGCCCTGCCCTTGCTGAGAAAGGCGAGTACGGGCATGTTCGCTTGGAGGAATTCTGGAGGAATTTGGATGGTTTAGAGGAATGCTGGAGGAATTTGTGAGAGAAAACACTGTTTCAGATGAAAAAAGAAGTGGATCAAATCGGGTTTAAGGGCACACGAACGGGCCACATCTAGAAGGGTGGCAAACAAGTACGAGGAGATGTTTCCCAATTTTCACCGTACACGGAAAAAAGGATGGCTGAACCAAACAGACCGTAAGATAACTTAATAATAAATAGACTCGTGATGCGGTACCTCATCTAAAATGGTTTCATTACTTAAATCAAACACCACATAAATGATTGGACTTGATGAGAATTTAGAGGCAGAAATTTTCACTCTTCAATACTAAACTTTGGGGTGGGAAGGAGGCAAAAATAGAGAATTATCTTTTCTCAATCTAAATAGAAAAAACTATATGTGAAGCTATTTTGCCAAACGATTTATCAAAACAGCTACAACTCCACCCATAGAGCTGTTCATGGAGCTGAAG